TTTAACGTTTTATTTTATTTTTGAGACAGAGAGAGACAGAGCATGAACGGGGAGGGTCAGAGAGAGAGGGAGACACAGAATCTAAAACAGGCCCCAGTCTCTGAGCTGTCAGCACAGAGCCCGACACGGGGCTCGAACTCACAGACTGTGAGATCATGACCCGAGCTGAAGTTGGACGCTCAACCGACTGAGCCACCCAGGCGCCCCTGAGTAGTATTTTCAAAGTTTCAAACCGAATTCTAAAACTGTGTTTTGTTTCTGTGTGTCACATGGTGAATTTCCAAGCAGGGTATATTAGTCTCTGTGTCCAGATTCACCTTTCCTGCCTTTTTGTCTTTTCTATGCTCTGAAAATACTCGGAGGTATGTCTGGTTCAAAGTCAGCCCATTGTGGAAAGGCAAGATCAGCAAGTTTTTCTTCAAGATAGCAATATTCTCAGAAATAGGTTCCCAAGTGCACAAATCTAAAAAAAAACAAGAATGCCTACTATGTCCCCTTCCCCGACTCTTTTGGGTTGTTGAAGAACTATCTAGTGTTAAGTGATTTAGCATACGCAGGCTCTTGGATACTGTGATATTGGCTGGGTGCTGAGAGGATTCCAAAGGTCAGTCCTACAGCCTCTGAAGAGGAGAACAGAGGAAATGAGAAAAGCTCATGTTTCCATCTCCCCGCCTGCCACCAGCTCCTCCCTCCATCTGAAGCTTCTAACCCGGAGATCCCCAGATTCTGCAGAGCCCTTCCCCACTGGCCTCTCTTATCTTGGAGAAGCACACCTTCTTAGAATACAATCCAAAAGAGGAATTGTCAGTGCTTGGCTTGGTGGTAAAAGTAAAAGCTCAGAAGCAAAGCTCCACTTGGAACTCCTAAATCAGGGGTCACAAACACACACAATGGTCTCCTCACATTGGAGAGATGGCACACCACAGTGGTGAAGGTGCTAGAACACTGGCTCTCCCACTCACAAGCTGTGTGGCCTTAGGCAAGTTACTTAGCGTTTCTGTGCTTCAGTTTCTTCACTGGTCCAGTGGGCATGGTGTAGACTTCCTTACATAGTTCTCATCAGGGGCACGTGGGTCCTCAGTCAGTTAAGCCTCCAACTCTTGGTTTCAGCTCAGGTCATGATCCTGGGGTTGTGAATTCGAGCCCCACATCAGTCTCTGTGCTGACTGCAGGGCCTGCTTGGGATTCTCTTTCTCTCCTCTCTCTCTGCCCCTCCCCCACTTGCACAGTCTCTGTGTCTCTCAAAAATAAATAAACTTCAAAAAAAATGTTCTCTTCAGGAGTCATGGGTTAATGCATACCAAGAGTGTGAGCCAAGTGTTGGCAGTAGGATGGGAGAGGAGAGGGTTGGTAAAATGGAACATGTGTGTTGTCTCAGGTATTCACATTCAAGACTTATCTTCCATATGCAGAGCTCCTGTCCTTCCCAAGGGCCTTTCCTTCCATCAGCCCAGTAAGCCCTCAAGGTAGCCATGTGGGGCCCTGGGCCGAGAGCCCACTTCCCTTTGCTCCTGAGCAGGGGTGCCAGATTTAGAAAAGGGAACCATTTGTTTTCCATCTGGGCATGCTCTGTTTTATCTGGTAACCTCATTCCTGCTGAAGTGGAAAATTGAAGAAAGATCCCAAAGAGCCTGATATGAGCACGGGAGTCTCTACAGCCTGTCTGGGCTTTGTGTGAGGTCACGGGATTACTGTACTTCACGATGGCATGTGCCTGGCGCCATTCGCAGACCCAAGCCTGCAAGCGTGCCCTTCTATTTCCCTGAAACCACACTCTGCACTTAACCAGCGCCATCCTCAAGGCCTTGTGGCAGAATGAACATTCTCCTCCTGCTGACCCTTTCCACATTGTTCTCAGAGCCGCTGGGAACCTTGGATCAGGTTGAACCACATGAAATTAACTGTCACTTGGGGACGTGCAAAATGGTTAAACATCAGCAGTATCTTGTGGTCCCTTGTAACATTCTTGCCTTTGCTTAGGCTTCATTAAAAGTAGTCCAGGGACACCTGGGTGGCTCAGTCGGTTAAGCGTTTGACTCTTGATTTTGGCTCATGATTTCGAGGTTCGTGAGCTCAAGGCCTGCATCAGGCTCTGCACTGACAGTGCAAGTGCGGAGGAGCCTGCTTAGGATTCTCTGTCTCCTCTCTCTCTGCCCCTGTCCTGCTCATGCGCACTCTCTCTCTCTCTCTCTCTCTCTCTCTCCCCCTCTCTCTAAAAATTAAATAAACTTAAAAAAAATCCTTAAAAAAATTTTTTTAAAGTAGTCCAAAGTGAGTACAGTACCTGCTCTTGTGTCTACATATTTTAAATGTCTCTTCCTGCCAACTCCTGGTGCAGCCTCTTCTGCTGTTTGGTTTACTCTTTAACCTGGGAATAAACCCAGCGGGGATTCCTTAACCAGGCTTCATGAGGGACACTGAAAGATCAGAGCAGGGCTGACTGGACCTCCTGCTTCTTGTACTTGTGGTGCATCGGTCCATATAGTTGTTCTCTCCACTGTCCAAATTCAGATCAGCCTCTCTCCTCACACTTGAGGCCTCAGGTCCTGACAGCACCATCCTGATGGGCCAGTGCCTGGAACGGCTCACAGGTTAGACCTCTCCTTAGTATTACTGTGCTTGCTTATTGCTCTGTCTCGTTTCCTCTTCTGATTTGTCTCCATCATCTCTCTTTCCCACCTGCAGAATTACCTCCGAGTTGCATTCCAGGAGGTCAACAGTGGCTGCACGGGAAAGACCCTCCTCGTGAGACCTTACGTTACCACCGAGGATGTGTGCCAGCTCTGTGCCGAGAAGTTTAAGGTGGGGGACCCTGAGGAGTACAGCCTCTTCCTCTTTGTTGACGAAACATGGCAGCAGCTGGCAGAGGACACTTACCCTCAAAAAATCAAGGCTGAGCTGCACAGCCGGCCACAACCCCACATTTTCCACTTTGTCTACAAGCGCATCAAGAATGATCCTTATGGTGTCATTTTCCAGAATGGGGAAGAAGATCTTACCACCTCATAGAAGACGTGAGACTTCCCAGTGGTGCATCCAAAGGGGGGTTTAGGAACCTTGCCTTCTGGCTTTCACGTGCTTGTGCTTGAAAAGCAGTCACCTCCTTGGGGACCCCTCGGTTCAGTGACTAAGCCATCCACAGGCTGACTTGGGCAAGGGCATCTTCAGCCACATTGCCCAAGCAAGGTAGCTGAGGTTCATGAAACGGTAGGATTCTCCTTCAGAGATGGGAGAATTTCATTTGATAGTTTAGGTGTCCTGAGACTGTTTGTTTGCTACCTACCCCCAGCCAGGTTCTAGGTTGGCTCACATGTACGTATATGTCCTGAATAAACATTTAGGGTATAAGCTCTTCTCTTGAATTCGACAGCAGGTATTTGACAAGACTGTCCGATGCAGTGCGTCAGGTGCTTCTCCGTTCTGTGGATGGCTCCATCCTTTCCTTTTCTCTCTTTTGTTCTCTCTTTCTCCCTTTCTCTCTCTCTCCCTTTGTTTCTTTCTTTCAAAGAGCCTTTGTGTTTTTATATATTTCATAGAAATTTTTATAGCAGTTGCAGGTAAACTGTCAGGATTGGTTTTTAAAATATTTTTGTAACTTTAAAATATTCTATAATTATGCATGTGATTTTAACGTTTAATATTTTCAAAAAGAAATCTCTTGCTGGATTTGAGAGTATCTCACTTTTAAAATGTCTCTCTTCTATAACTGGATGTTTCGGCAACTTTTGTGGGGAAAGACTGCTGGAGTTCTTAAAGTGATGCATTATTGACACTGGCCACAGAATGCCTTGGAAATCTGATGTACTGTTGTTACCTTGTTCATGCTTAGTGGTATTGTGCTCTTTTGTGTTTTAACCAAGTGATGCTGAGGATCAGGAGAGAAATGAATGTAGAGAGAGGTCGAGAGAGAAAAACAGACTCTGACAAAGGACTAAGGAATGTAGTCTGCTGGTTCAGACTCCTTGAAGGAAGTGGTAAAAGGGAATGGAAGGATCCACTTACGTTGAAAATACTGTAAATATGCAGTGACATTAGGCAAAAATATATCCAATGTTATTTGCTTTTGGAAATAATTTTGGAAACCCCCATGAGGAGAAAAAAAATAAGGATAATACTACCCCCTTTCCACATAAATCAAAACTAAGAGCATCAAATTATTTGCGGGCAGAAACCATGTATGTGTAATGTGACTTTCGTTGAGTTAAATAAGATGCTGTTTGGAAAAGAGTTTGCAATGCCACCAAAAAGCCCTTCTGTGTTACAAGAATGTATGGTGAAGTTAACTTCATGTTTTATGAAACCTTTTTTGGGGGTGCACAAAGTATGAGGGTCTTGTATCCATGTGACACAGGTAGTTACCAGAACATGTGATTGTACTGTGTAGAGATGCGTAGTCATCTAATTTGGTTGGCTTTGTACCTTGTACCTTTTTTTAGCTTTTGCTGTCCATCTAGAACCCTCATCACATACTGTGTTGTACTTCCTTTTGTAAATGATTTTTTAAATGGAATTTTGCACATAATACATTGTAATACTGTATGATAATCATGTGTGAAGAGTTTTGAAATATCGAGTTGTCCTTTTTTTCTTCAAGGAGCAGAGTACAATTATGCACCACACCACGTTATGCAAATCTGAAATGCACACCAGTGTTTGTGGTTAGATAATCCATGGAGAGGAAATGGCAAAGTTTGCATTTTTTTCAGAAGACCATATACACATAAGAGGCAAAAATCCAGGAGTAGAAGGAAAAGATAGTGTTCCGATCTGAAAGGATTTCCAGTGTTATCTAGGACAGAACACGACTTTGTTGAACATAGAGAAAAATCACTGTTAATCAGAGGGGCCCTGAAGACACCTCCCACCATTCTACTGTGACCTCTGAAGTGCCCTGTCCAAAAGTTGAACACTCTTTCAAAACCAACAGGGCGGGCACTCTTTTTTGCGTCCATATTCCTGGTGCTTGGAGCTGTGCCTGGCAGATAGCAAGTCCTTGACCAGTCCTTGTTGACCGAATGAACTTTCTAACCCATCAGTAAGATGGATACTTAAGGATCAGAACTACAGCTAGATGAGCTGCCTGCTTTTTATATTCACAATGAACTAAACATGGGGCCAGTTCAATCCATATAGCCCTCCTCCTCACCCTCCAAATTCAGGTCATCATCTTCCTTGTCCTTAGAAGTCAGTACACAGTGATTTAAAGCAAGCCCTAACGTCTGAATGGGAGGCAGCCTTCAGTGAGATGAGAGAGAGATCAAAACAGGAAAAGTTCCGTGTGAGCAGAAGAAAACATCACAAGACAGCCCCTGGTTTTGTCATTGGGCAATGTTTCCCTGCTAAAATTACAACATAACATGTGTCTTGACTTTTTTCCCCCCACGCAGACATTCTCACTTCTCAAATTGCCAGGAAACAGATTTTGGCGAAGTTTGGAAGGAATAAGGGGAGAGTAAAAATATACATGATGGGTGGAGGGAGAAAATAATGTATTTCCAAACCTAAAATTATGTTATAAAAGTTGAATGCCGGCCAGAGGAAAAGATTTCTTTTTTTTTTTAATGTTGTAGGCACTGCCAAATATTCCCCCCTCAGGGACACAGAATAGAAATAGAAACTTAATAAAGTAGTTCAGTATCATGTGGAAGTTACAACTTTAGATGTATAAGAAAACAAAAGGCAGGAACCCTAACCATGAATGTGTTCATTCATAAATGTGGCTTTGCCTCCATTGGGCATCTCTTACCTTCATCTTCTTAAAGAGACTAGAAATGAGAGCATCCTGGTTGTTAACAGCACTGCCTGGTTACCCCTCAAAAGTCAGAGGGAAATGGCACAGTACATGGGCCATGGTTATTTTAATCACCTGGCCATATCTGATAGTAAACTCCCAAAAATCATTTTTCAGACCATGTTTGCGATGGTGAATTTCAAACCAAAAGTGTTATTGGTTATTTAACCCAAATCAAGTTGGAGATGTGAAAAATTTATATAACATTGCAGATTCATAAGCAGACAAGAAAGAAAAACGGAAGAGGTGGTGGGAGGGAGGAGGCCAATATCTGGTAGTTGTGTCAGATAACAGGATTTATTTGAAAAAGATCTATTTGTCTCAAAGGATGGGTGGCTGATGGCCCAAACCTTTCCCACACAAACACTGGCTTTTCCAGGAAGATGGACACGGGAAGTTTTAAAATGATTCAGAAAGATCTGTTAGAGATTTAATGGAGCGGTACCCGAGGTCTGCCCTCAAACCCCCAACCCAGCAGGAAAATCAGGTTTGATAGAAGTGAGGCAGTTGAGCAGGGAATGGGGGCAGCTTCTTGTCTGGATTGTAAGAAACTCTTCCACAGTGGAATATGCCCGAATTCTGAGACACTCCACATAACAGACCTTTATAATTGCATTACAGAAATGAATCTGAGAATTCCCCTTGACCAAACACAGCCCCCCTCTCTCTCTCGCCAGTCTGGAGGGGAAGGAGTCCAGAGCCCACAGCCCAGGGTGGTCGAGCCTGAGCCAGACTCTGCTCAGGGCTACGGTTTTCCTCAGGGGTGTACAATGGAGATGAGGAGGGCCTGTACCTCTGTAATCAGCTCCCTGGGAAGCTTCACCTCCCACAAGTGAAGGCAATTCCTCTCATTTATCTCTGTTCCTATCCTTTCCTCCCACCGCCCCCACCACGGCTCTGGAAGGCGGGGCTTCTCTCCAGTAGGTTTCAATGAGGGCCATTTACAAGGCTCTTTGCCAACAGGCGGGCTCTGACTGGGCATGTCCTTTCCTCAGCTTCTTCCCTACTTCCTACCAGAGACTCAGAGTGTGAACGAGGCCCCAGTGCAAACGCTGTCCTCCCACCCCGTCTGTCACCGGGACTCAGGGTCCACTGGTCCTATTTGGATCAGGTTCCCAACTTTGGCCGCTTCTTCAAATCACCTGCAGGCCTTTAAAACTCTTAATGCCCTGGCTTCCCAGACCATGAGTCTCTGCAGATGGGGCCCAGACAGCCATTCTCACTAAAACTTCCAAGGTGACTGTACTGTGAAGTTGGGCCTGATAAACACCAGTTTAGGTCAAGACACAGGTCTGAAGATACAAACACACCCAGGAGAATGAAGACCTTGTCTACAGCCACTAACACCTAACTAAGTGCAGGTTCTCGATCTTCTTCGGCCGGCAGAAGACCATGGAACAGGGTACTTCTAGTATGGCGTCATCCTATAGAAATATGAAGCAAACCACATAGGTAATGTTAAATTTTCTAGCCACATAAAAAAAAGGAAAAAGAAATAGGTAAAATTAATAGTAATATATGACCATACTCCTAATTTATTAAGTAACAGATTTGTGATATATTTTAGCTCATGATATCCCAAGTATCATACCTCAACAATTAACTTCAATATTAAAGATGCATTTTATTTTTACACTGTCTTCAAAATCTTGTGTGTCTTTTGCACTCATTCCACAGTTCACAGTTCATTTCACAAATGTTCAAAAGCTACACGTGGCTAGTGGCTACCCTGTTGGACAGTGCAGTCCTAGCATATTAACTGAGAATAATTTAGAAAGCTAAAAATGACTATATGTGTATATAAAATTTAAAAAGCATCCACCACTTACATCCATTAAAAAACACATATACACGTTGTCAAACACATACTTCTCACTGGCTGAGGTCATAACAGCATTTTGGCTCACAAGAGTGCCACTGGGCCTGCAGGAATTTATCCGCGCAAAGTCAGAACAGTGTCCAGCACCCCACAAGCATATTAAATATTAGTTGCTATTATCATTAGATAAGCAACTTCTTCGAAATTTTTCCACTACTGTTTATTCATACTTATCTGCTTCTGTTATTACCCACTGGCAAGTTTCTTATGAAATAGAAGAAAGGCAGTAACAGGTATTGAACGTTTAAGCAAAATATACTGGGGTGGGATGCCCAGTGTGGGAGGATTAAAACTAGAGTGAATGCCATCCTGTAACTTTGTCTTTGCTGATGAGCATGG